ATAAATTTTAAATAAAAAATATTTATTTTTCTGAGACAAAAAGAATAAAACAATTAATGAAGATGATAGGAAATTGGTAAACTAAAATAATGAAAGGTTTTTTAATTTATGTACTAAATATGTTAAGAAAGTAATTAATGAATTTTTTAATTATTAAATTACATAAAAAATACTGAATTTTAATTTTAATTTTAAAAGTTAATAAATTAAATTAAGATAGTAATATTGATGTCAAAATAAGTTTTTTTTTTTGGTTTTTTAATATGATATGAATTAGTTATTTTTTGAAAGTTAATAAAAGTAATGAATTAGTCGAATGAAAATTATATCAATAATTTTCCAACACAAAAAAATCACCGACCGCCATTATTGACAATTGACGAAAAAAATGAACGTCGTCGCTATTATTGATGATTGACAAAGAAAATGAAAGTTGTCGGTCATTATTGACAATTGACGAAGAAAATGAACGTGATCACTATTATTGATGATTGATAAAGAAAATGAAAGTTGTCGGCCATTATTGACAATTGACGAAGAAAATGAACCTCTTCGCTATTATTGATGATTGACAATGAACATCTTCGCTATTATTGATGATTGACAAAGAAAATGAAAGTTGTCGGCCATTTTTGACAATTGACGAAGAAAATGAACATCGTCGCTATTATTGACGATTGAGAAAGAAAATGAAAGTTGTTGGCCATTATTGACAATTGACGAAGAAAATGGACGTCATCACTATTATTGATGATTGACAAAGAAAATGATAATGAAAATGAAAGTTGTCGCCACTTTTGACAATTGACGAAGAAAATCAAATTCGCCATATTTCTTCTCTAATAAAAATGACAGATACTATTAGGTGGCCTCATCAAAGCCCAAAGTAAACAAGAAGAGCAGCAATTTGAACGAATTTGAGGGTGTGGTTATTTTCCACTATGAAAAAAGTTAAAATTATTAAAATTTTAATTTTTTAATAATTTGTGAAAATATTAAATTGTAATTAATTTTAATTTATTAACTAATAATATTAATTATTTTATAAATTATTAATTAATAATTATAATTA